TGGGGGGGGGGGGGCGGCAGGGTTGGTGTTAGTTTTTTTTTTATTTACTATTTTGTTAACTTTAACTACTTAGTTAGTAGACTTATTTGATTCTTTAACTCAATAAACTCTTTCGATTCTTTGAGTTAAAGAATAGTGAGTCCCCACCAGTAGAACAATACACTGAATCAATTAGCAGGTTGCAGCAGTGATAAAGGACAGAGAGAGTTTGGATTAGAGGAGTTCCTCATTCAGATTGATGGTTTAACCCTTTAGGATCAAATTGGCTTCTCGAGGAGATATATATGTTAAAGGTACAGGCATCCCTTCTGAAACATTCAGTAGCTATATAATAAAATGAGAGAGCTGTCTTTTTTTTAATAACATAAAAATAAATTTAAACCTCCTTTTTAATTATATTATTTACCCCTCCAGTCCTGAGTTTTTCACACCCCCTGGATACTTGGATTTGTTTATTTCCGACAACCATGACCTCTACAGTGGGGTAGATAATTACACATTTGCAAAAAAAAAAAAAAAACATTTTTTTTTTAAATAAACAATTTTTGGTATTGATAGCCTAGGATCAATGTTCCCCAGGAGCTGCCTGACACCGTTCTCTGAATTAGAGTCCTCTGATTGGGATCCTCTATGAAGGTTCAGACAGCTCCTGAGCTTCGGTTCGCTTCCTTGTCAGCCGACTCAGCAAGTGAACCGAAGATTCGATTCATGAATCGGTTCTTTTGAATGAACTGATTCAAAATCAATCGATTCATTTAAAAGATCCAACTTCCCATCTCTAATTCTTACATTTATCAGTGCGTTGTTGCTTGAGTCACAAATCAATACAATGTTTCAAAACCATGATGGGTCATGGCAATGTGACTATCTAGTAAAAACACACAGTGATACAACCATGGCACAGATTTTACCCCTGCTTTACTCTATCCAAAACTAAGAATATTACTAGTCTTGGTTATCAGCAGTGAGCAATATTGTCTTTTTTTTATTGTTTCAGGGATTATTTATCTTCTTTTAGAGCTTACAATACTCAAATTCATTGCAGATAGATTATGACTGGATCTGTCCACTAAATGTACAGTTTAAATGTACAAAGATTATTTTGCACCATATTATTATTAAATAATGTCTGTAATCCCTTATTTTATTATTTAAATAGAGTGTTTCTTAACCACTTCAAGACCAGGTGTTTAGACCCCGTTCCTGGCCAGGCCATTTTTCAGTGTTCAGCGCTGCGGTACTTTGACTGATGTTTATTCCGTCATGCAATGCTGTACTGAAATAAATTTTATACCATTTTTTGGGGACAGATAGAGCTTTCGTTTGATGGTACTTAATCACCATGGGGGGTTTTATTTTTTACTATAATTAGGAAAAATTACAGAAAATGTTGAAAAAAAAAAGTTTTTTTTAACATTATGTTAGGAAACATTTATTATTACCCAGTTTTTTGGTAAAATATAAAAGATCGGGTCACGTCGGGTAAATAGACACCAAACATGGCAAGCTTTAAAATTGCGCGCACCCGCGAAATCGCAGAAAACTACCATACCCAAAATTGGCCATAGGCGACACTTTAAAAGCTTTTACCGCTCATCAGTTTAGTGTTATCGGTGATTGATGGCCCTAGACTTATTGCTCTCACTGCGACGTTCGCGGCGATATGTAACATGTGCGGCGTAATGGGCGCAATCGTATTTTTTGCACGTATGCGCCCCCATACAACCGGCCCTTTGAGGGTAACCATACTGCTGATGCGGCCCCCGATGAATTTGAGTTTGCCACCCCTGCCTTAGAGGAATAGGACTGGATATCCATGAACAGCAATACGAAGAAATAATTTAAAGCTTGGGTATATGTACCGTACATGTTTTACAAATAACATATATTCTATATCTTTTTGCAGATGCTGTCTCACTCTATCCAGGTGGTCGTAGCTATTCACTTCCCTGATGATTTCACTCCTGAAGTTCATGCTGCCTGGGAAAAATTCCTTTTTGAAGTTTCTTGTATCCTTACCTCCAAATACAGATAAATATATTACAGCAAGACAAACTACCAGCACTGTAGAGTACTTTGGGGACTGTGGACACAACACTCATCAGAATCATAACAAAATTGCAACGGTCTACAAAGGGTATTTCCTTAAATATTGCACATGGAATAAATGCCAATATATTTGTCACCTTGGCGTCTACTGTTTGTTTTATGATGTGTTAATATATTTATAAAATATTCATATAATAATTTAACAAAATGTGATTTTAAATCAGGTAATTCATAGAATTATAAATATCTAGTTGTCTTGTTATACATTAGATGCCACGGATAGCAAATTACAGAACATATTACAAATTATAAACAAAATAGATATGTGTAATATTGTTTGATAAAATGTATTCTGTGCAAAGGAAAAATAATGCCAAAAGTTCTGACTTGGCAAGTAAGCCCTGACATCAGACAGCAGCAGGAGCTCATGGGAAAACCATAAATTATAGGAGACAGGAGGAATAAAAAAAAAAAAAATGTTAAAGGTACCCTTTACTAAGGCAAATATACAGGCTACCAACCCTCACTTCTCATTCTGCTGCCTTCATCTTAGTTGCCTGGCTGTCACGCTGCTATTCTATCGGAAAACAAATTACTGAAATAAGAATTTCTGACTTTTCTCCAGTTTCCTCAAGTACACTGTTAGAATATTAGATACAAAATTATAGCAAATATGTCTATTTATTGATTGAATGGTTATGAGAGGATTCTACTTTTGCCATTGGAGTAACACTTTTATGTTACAATGCAGTAGAAAAGAAAAAGAAAAAGAAAGTGGTTTAACCCTTTTCCTGCCAGAGCCATTTTCACAGTTTTTGCACACATGTTCAGGTTTAGACCTGAAGATTACCTACAACACCCAAAGCATTATAAATTCCCTCCACCCCTGATAAACATGCAAGTAAAAGTTTTGGATCACATAATTTTGTTATTGTTTCCTTATTTTTTTAACTTTTTTATTTTTATTAATTTTTTTACTTTTTTAAATTTTTAGCTTGTCGTTTACTTTTTTATTTTTTTATAATTTTTTTATCTTATTATTGTTTATTTCTTTTTTATAATGATTTTCTTATTTTTTAATAATTGTTTTCTTATTATTTTTTACTTTTTAATCACCTTTTTATTTTATTTAATTATTTCTTATATATTCTTATATGTTTTTCAATATGATAATTTTTGTAAACTTAACTTTATTGCTATCACACAGGAGCTAGCTAAAAAGCCCCTGCGTGATAGCCTTTTGAGGTGACAGGTTCTCTTTATAGACCCTGTCACCTCCAATACAGGAGTTCTAGCACAGCACTGTGCTGGAACTCCTGTGACAGCTGAGATGGGAAGAGCACTGTTCTCCCCTCTCACTGCCTACACGGAGCAGCAGGGTTAGTTTTAACCCTGCCGCTCTGCTCCCTGCATCGGCGGACAGTGAGGAGAGACTCGGCGGCCAGGGGGAGGACAGAACCAGAGGAGAGAGGTAGGTGCGGGGGGGTCAGTGTGGAATCCCCCGACGCACGGAACATAAAGTAACGGGCGGCGGGCTGTAAGTTGTAAAATGTGTGCAACCTGTCACGCTGGTTTAAACACTAACCGGCACGCTCTGCATGCAGCTTCTGAGAAGATACGCTATTAGCGTAGCAAGACCTATGCAAAATATGCAGCCGCTACGCTAATAGCGTATCTTCTCAGAAGCTGCTTACAGAGCACCGGTTTAAGTAGTAACCAGCACACGCTGTATGCAGTTTCTGACAGCGTGGGAGACGGGAGTCTGCGCTTGTCCGTGGATCCAGGGATCAGGTAAGTATTAAAACAAAAAAATATATATTTTATGTTCCCAGGGACATCATTTGGCCGGGGGCGGTCTCTTCAATCCAGCGACTGTTGTGTAATGTATTGCTTGGAATTGCAGTTCTCTATAGCCAATGCCATTCTGCATCGCTGTACAATGTATTTCTGAGAATTATAGTCCTCTATAGCCGATGCCATTCTGCATTGCTGTATAATGGTATTGCTGAGAATTGTAGTTCTCTATAGCTGTTGGTATTCTTCATTGCTGTACAATGTATTTCTGAGATTTATAGTCCTCTATAGCTGGTGGTATTATTCTGCATTGCTGTATAATGTGTTGAGATTTGTAGTCCCTCTACAGCTTGAAGTTAGTGGCAGAACTACCAGGGTCGCAGCAGTCATGCACGCGCACAGCACTGACGAGGCATCCCTACACTATCAGTGTGCTATAATGTTCCTCAACCCATACATTTCTCTACCGCATATCTTCCAGGTGCCATAAAGAAAGGGGGTCATGAAAATAGCTGATTTGGATGACTCAGTCCCACCGGAACTGAGTCATCCAAATCAGGGTCGAGAAAAATTATAGAACACTGACTTTGACACTGTCCAGCCCCTCCCACTATCCTCCCACAGCTCACAGGCCAGAAGCATGGACAGCCAGTGGCGGTCTACAGCGGGTGAGAGTGCCTGACTACTGGACATGGAGCGGAGTAAGGCCAGAATCCCCCAGCCAGTGACCCCCTTTCATGGACTTACTAGTGAGTCCTCACATCTCCCGACCATTCACACTGGCAAAAGTGGCAGGTTGGGGGTGGGGGGGGGTTCAGAGGCAGAGCAAGAGAGGGGCCAAGTTGCTGCCCCATGGGCCTCTGGGTTGTACTTTCCCCTTGGTTGAAAGTCAGCCCCTGCTGTATTCCGAACATGCCGGGCGCCAAGAGCTGATTTAATTGTGGATGGCATCGGCGCCCATCGGTTGCGGTATTCAGGATTGTGGGCGGCGTTGGACTACATGTCGCAACCGCTGGGCGCAGATGCCATCCGCAATTAAATCAGCTCTCTGTGCCCAACTGTTGCGACATGCAATGAAAATAATTAGTGCCCGCCCAGATTTGACTGTGGTATCTTATGTGCCCCCCCCATATATTGTTCCTAGAGTGGTCACTGAAGGAGGGGCAGCTATGTGCGCCAACTCCTTGCTGTTTTTGGCCGAGCCGTAGCCAAACTAGTAGATGTGGCTGTGTTAAAGTGGAGGGGGCACTGTTCCCCGGCTCCCGGGTCCAACAGACACTGCCGTCTCTGTTTTAACAAAGCTGAATTTACTAGTTATGCTGCGGTGAGGCCGAATAAAGCACAGAGATAGCGCGGGAGGAGTGGGTTTGTCACGCTGTCGTGGTTGTGTACAGACCAAGAGCAGACTTCAGCATTACTTCATGTTCTATGACTGCCAGAAGCTCAAACACTCGGTCTACTACTGCCTATTGCTCTGAGGACTAAAAAGAGACTTGCTGATCATTTTACCCATGCTGAACTCCATAGCTCAGATTTTCTATGGAGCTGTCTTAATGTACATCTCCATGTCGCTCGTCGCAGTCGCAAGTCACACCTGCAGGACCCTTTTTCCCCACGGATGTCGTGCAAATTTACTTTTTTTAATAATGCAGCCCGGCGGTGAAAGTTGCACGATCGCCGCTGGAACGTCGCCCAAACCGTCGCTCTATCCCGCCACACCGAAATCCGCTCGAGGTAAGTGTCGCTTAGTGTCAATGGGGCCTTAAGGCAACATTACAATGGGCAATTCCTTCCAATATCATTTTTGAGATATGGGCTGAACCTGCCTGTGAAAGAGCGCACCTGTGCCATGTATAAAACCTAGTACAGCAAAACTGATATTTACAAAGAAAAAAATACCGAAATACCAAAATACCGAATGAAAATGCCACATTAAAGTATATCTGAAAAAAATAAATCAAAGCAACTGGACTTTGCTGTATTTTTCTTGACATGTTGCTGGTAATGCGACTAACGTTCTCAATTTAGAATGAGAAAGATTCTGAATTCAGAAATTGAGTCGGATGACCAGTGAAACATCTTCAAGATAAATACAGCAAAGTCCAGTTGCTTTGATAATTTTTTTACAGATATACCATGACCTGAAAGAATGAAAACCTGCACAGACACATCAAATGCAAGTTCCCAGCTGCTTCATTTCTGTTTGTAAACGAAAACATCTGGGGATTTCCCTTCATCTACACCAGGGGTGGCAAACTCAAATTCATCGGGGGCCGCATCAGCAGTATGGTTACCCTCAAAGGGCCGGTTGTATGGGGGCGCATACGTGCAAAAAATACGATTGCGCCCATTACGCCGCACATGTTACATATCGCCGCGAACGTCGCAGTGAGAGCAATAAGTCTAGGGCCATCAATCACCGATAACACTAAACTGATGAGCGGTAAAAGCTTTTGAAGTGTCGCCTATGGCCAATTTTGGGTATGGTAGTTTTCTGCGATTTCGCGGGTGCGCGCAATTTTAAAGCTTGCCATGTTTGGTGTCTATTTACCCGACGTGACCCGATCTTTTATATTTTACCAAAAAACTGGGTAATAATAAATGTTTCCTAACATAATGTTAAAAAAAACTTTTTTTTTTTTCAACATTTTCTGTAATTTTTCCTAATTATAGTAAAAAATAAAAACCCTCGTGGTGATTAAATAACATCAAAAGAAAGCTCTATCTGTCCCCAAAAAATGGTATAAAATTTATTTCAGTACAGCATTGCATGACGGAATAAACGTCAGTCAAAGTACCGCAGCGCTGAACACTGAAAAATGGCCTGGCCAGGAAGGGGGTCTAAACACCTGGTCTTGAAGTGGTTAAGAAACACTCTATTTAAATAATAAAATACAAAACAGACATTAAGCAGTACACTGCATTTATAAAAAAAAAAGAATTTACTTACAGAACAAAGTTCTGAGCTCCTGCTCCTCATCCCTGCTCCTCATAGCAAGGCAAGGACAGCCTCCCACGTGTCTTTCCGGCAGAATCCGCCTGTCCCCATCCAGCGCCCGCACGGAGGGGCGCCGCGCCCGCGGGCGCACAGTAAAGATGATCTGCGACTCCTGATTCCGCCTGTGGACTGGCCTGCCAGAGTGCCAGTACTTTGTCCAGTTTTAAAGATGGCCGCCGCGCTTTCGCGGCGGC